TGCTGTTATCGCCTATGTTGCTTCATTATATGATAGCTTTTCATTGTCTGAAGACCAAATTCAAAAGGTTATTAATTGTCATCAAACTCTTTTAGGATCAGGATTTTTATTAATTTAAAAAAAACATGTTTTTAAATTATTAGATAAAGCAAGAATGCAAACAGAAATTTCTCTTTATGAAATGAATGAAATAACAAAAATGCTTGATTCATGTCAAAATATGTTCAGTGGATTTGAAAACCACTATTTACGTATGAAACAGTTTGAATCTTGTGGATCATTTATTAAACCTGAAACATATGTAATAGGAACCTCTTTAGATGAAAAAAATTCTGGTGGAGAAATCGCAATTATACCAAGTCTTGTTAATGGACAGTTTAATCCTCTTCGCTCAGTACTAAAAGGATTTCTTGAACTGCCAAATGTCTTAAAAATAATTTTAGATTATATGAAAACACTTGAAGATAATTCAGATTTGCTTTGTAATATTATTCAAGGCAAGCTTTGGAAAGAAAATATTGCTCCTAAATTTCTTGACAAACTAGTGTTACCCTTAATTTTGTATTTGGATGATTACGAAACAAATAAAGAATTAGGAAATCACACTGGTGTGCACAAGTTAGGAGCTACTTATTGCAAAATTGCTTGTCTTCCACCAGAATTTGAGTCATCGCTCGAAAATATATTTCTTGTAAATCTCTTTCATTCAAATGATAAAGTCTTTGGGAATGCAAATATTTTTCGCAAACTTGTAAATAAATTAAAATATCTAGAAGATGTTGGCATAACCGTTGTAATAGAAATTGAGATTATTCAGGTTTACTTTACCATGTGTCTGTTTACGGGAGATAATTTAGGTGCGAATAGTACTTTAGGTTACGTAGAAAGTTTCTCAGCAAATTATTATTGTAGCCTATGCAAAGAGCATAAGAAAGTTATGCAAAAACAAACTATGTCAAACCCATTAATGCGTCGAAATGTTATAAATTATAATACTGATCTGACAGTTGATAACAGTACTGATACAGGTATCAAATCTGAGTGTATTTTCAATGAATTGAAAAGCTTTCATGTAGTTGAAAATATTCACTTAGATATTATGCATGACTTAGATGAGGGAGTGTAGAAACAGACAATGACTAATGTAATACATTCTTTGATAAAAAAAAAGATTTGACATAGATACTTTAAATAATTTAGTTCAAGGCTTTTATTACGGTCCTTCCGAACAGCATAACAAACTTCCCCTCATAACTAAAGATCAAAGTAACCGAATTAAGTTGGCCTTCTCAGCCAGTGAAATGCGTTGTTTTATTTGATATTTTGGATATTTTTATTTGATATTTTGATGGTTGGTCATTTGATTTCTGATAATGACGCTGATATTTGGAAATTATATCAAACTGCTCGTCAAATCATTGATATTGTAACTGCGCCTTTTATTTCTATTACAACATTTCCATTATTAAAAGATCTTATAAAACAACATCATATACTTTATTTAGATTTGTTTGATAAAAATCTAACACCTAAAATGTATATAAGTACTCATTATCCAGACATTATTCCTGAAATAGGTCCTCTTGAACCACTGTCATGTATTAGAATGGAAGCTAAACATAGAGAAGGTAAACGCATTGCTCATTTATCAGCCAATAGAATTAATTTGCCTTATTCTATTGCTAAAAGACATCAACTTAAATTTTGCTATCGATTACTGGCTGAGAGAGGTTTATCCTTGAATATCTCATTTTCATCTGTCCAGACTGTTAATGTAACTGAATTAAAAGAGTTTTCTAAGTTTTGTTACATATTTTCCAAAGATATATCTATCGCAAAATGGAATATTGTTAAATGGGTTAAAATTAATAATTCTCATTATGAAAATGGCATGTTGGTTGTTGTAAAATGGGAAAAAAATAAAAATCCTCAATTTGGCTATATTGGCATATAGCATATTTATTCATACAATATCTGTTTCTACAGATAATATTGTGTATTTTTTGCTTAAAAAACTTACTACTGTAAGTTTCAATACTCATTTCAATGGTTATGAAATTAATTTGATGAGTGGCTTTATTTAAAATTTCAAGATTTGATTGTCCATACAGCAACCAACATCAGAACTACTGCTAATGGTAAACGATTAGTTCCATTTCGTTTTAATTTTTATTAATTTCTCTAGAAAGTACCTATAGTATTTTGTATAATTTTTATTCTAATCAAATAATATGTTTTAGTTGTATGTTATATATTATGTATATGTATTGTAAAAAGAACATAATACTCGTATATGTATTTATTACGAATATAATATTATAATAAAATATTGAACTAAGAATACCTGTGCTTTCGCTTGTAAAAATCTTTTCATTCCATCACCAAAAAATATTTGAATTGAGAATAATGTACGATTCGTGACGTTATATAAATTTCTCTTTTTGCAAGAATAAAATAAGATTTTTTTAAGATCGGTGTATTCTTTTTGCAAGAATAAAATAAGATTTTTTTTAGATCAGTGTATTCTTAAACCAAGAACATTATGAGATTGCTACGAATTTCTACGTTGTCTAATCTAAGAAAATTAATGAGATAGTATCAAGATTATTATATTCTAGATTTCAGAATATTTGCATTTAAGAATAAAATATTCTTCTCTTAACAATAATTATAGTT